ATCTTGTGTTGTGTATCAAAAACTGTAAATGTTGGTTATGAGTCTTGAATGAACAGGATCTGAAATTAAAAATAGAATGAAATGTTTGCTTCAGGGCTTCTGAAGTCTTCCGTTTACTTTCTGCGTGGCAGTGTGCTTTACAGACCAGCCTCTTACCAAGCTGCCACTATTGCTGTCGCCTGCTGATTTTTTGCAGCACACTAGCATACGTGGTATGTTTTGCAACATATACATCTCCACATCACTGCAGAGTATTTTTCAAATACAATTTGTGTATACTATCACAAATACATCCCAAACTCTCTCCTACATATATGAAGTGATTGGCCATAACATCCGGACTCACCTTCCCTACAGGAAAGCATAGTATGGCCCTACTTAGTTCCACAAAGCTGAACAGAGTTAAAAATACACAGTGGAAGTCTTTAATTATATTCTGATATTTAGAGGAGGAGCAAAAATGACTGAAGATCTTGTTCTCAGAGCATCAGACTCATTCACAGAGATCATGATAATCAAATTATGTATATATAGAGTGCATACTTTTAAATATATTTTAATATTTAATGATCATATTTCGTATATCACTTGTGTACTGTTATAACCATGTGGTTATGCCAACTTTTACTAAACTCTTCTCAAGACCCTTTGCCAGATTAATTTTACATAAGCACAAAGGTCTAAAGAAGCCTCAGGCTGAAAATGACTGTTGCCGGACTAAGAGGCCAACTTTTGTTCATGTAATATAAGTGTCCTGAGAAAACCTTGAGAAATGATCTTGAGAAACTAAATATTCTTAAGCAATGATTACCTGTTTACAAGAAACTGCCCAGGCTGGTTCCAGTTCTCCAGATTAGCTTCCAGAATAATTTCAGGAAACTTGTAAGTCTGTGTGATAATAGATGTCATAAAATACTAACATTCTAAAGTATGTGACTGCAAACTGACAATTGCCTTACTTCAGGTGGAACTGTAAGGGTAAAAATGCTTAATTATCAGTGCCATTTTAATATAATTCCGTTTTGGTCACCTGAAAAATGTCCTAATTGTTTAGGAGTTGATGTAAGTTAAACTGACTTGTGATGTCAGACACTGGGAGGGACCGGGGAGATGACAGGTTGGTTTCAATGTTTTGAGCTGTGCAGCTGCACAAAAGCTGAAGCCAGCACAAGACAGGGGGTGATCTGGTATCAGAATAAATGGACAGGGACAAGGGATAGGAAGGCAGTTTTCTTTGGCAGTGGTGCCATCTTACCGTGTTCATTGACCTACAGCCTAACTTCCAGCCCAACATACAGAATACCCAATCACACAGACCCAGCAAGACTCTGATAGGAGTGGAAGAATTGTTCTGTGGAAAAATTTATCTAAAGCTTGGAAGACAACAGCTGATAAAAGAGTCTTGTCTCAAGGAAAAGTCCAGCAACCTGCAGATCTGAGTGCAGCCAGATGAGGAGGCTCAGCCTTGCAAGGTTTTACATCAACCTACTTTTATATTTATCAGGTAATTGGTAGCTCGGAGAGAATTCAGAAGAATCAAATCCTTGGGTGTAAAGGCAGAGCCTGCCATAGAAACAGTTCACTACCAGACATCAATCCTCTATTTCTGAGTGACTTGCAGAAGAAAAAGAATAGGTGCATTTATTTTTCCCCAGGTACGGACATAATTCTGTTAAAAAAAAAAAAAAGAAGAACAACTCATCCGTTGCTAGCACTGCATCCATTGAAAAAACAGAAGCTGACAGTATGTTTCACACCAGGTCTTGGAAGAATCCTGCTATAACAACTGCTTAAGATAATTTAAATTGAGTTTATGAGCAGCCTTAGTCACCCAGTTACAAACTAAATATTAGCAGTTAACATGTTGGTGACAATGTAGTCCCTAAAACTCCAATGATAACAAACATTTTGATTTATTCCAGATTAAGAAATCTGACAGAGATGATACCTGTTAACAAAGGTTCTTATAATGTCTCTGGATATGCTTTAAGCAAGCTGAAAGCAGTGAGCAGATATGGGATGTTTTAACATTGGTAGTAGTTGTGAAAATTATTACACCAGATTTTGTTTTGTAAATAGGTCCACTATATTAGAAGAGTAAGAAGAGGTCCTTGTTTCTACGATTGGATCTAGGTAGCCATACTCCTAGGAGAAACAGGGCCAATAGGACACAGGAATCCACCCCGACATGCGACAAGTTTCAAGACTGAAGCTTTAGCTACTTTTTTTTTTTTTTACAGTTTTTTATAGGTAGAGCGGGACAGTTTGTGCTGCATATGTAATCTTTGCAGTAGCAAAGACAGCAGGCTGTTGCGAGACTTCTAATCGGTCTGTAGTTCTGTCAATGGATTCTGAAAGGTGAAAGCTGAAATATTTTTATATTCTATATTGAACAAATGCTGTCGCACTGAAACAAGCATATGAAGTTACTGCTAGACACAGGCCAAGCCGTACAATGCAGGCAAGGTGCAAGTCGCTCCCTGAACACACTGCGCAATGAATGTTCTGTCATTAGGATTATATGAATTCCTATGGTAACCAATAGTCCCTTCAATTATCATATTATATCTCATACTACAAACAGTCTCTGCGAGATTAAAACATTTACTGTATTGTTCGTAAAACAACTAAATAGATCTTAAGCACACTGAAAGTGCCCACTCCTGCTAAGATGTGTTACCACTTAATCAGCTGCCCTGTTCTCTCCGTTCTGCATTTTCTAAAGCAGCCCAGTTGCAGTCAGTGGCAAAATCTCCCTTCTGATATGATCAAACACCCGTGAGCCCTTCTTTTGGCATATGATATGCAGAATTAAACTAGTTCATGGAAGATACTGTTTTATTGCAGATCTTCACCTCTTTTTCTTTCTCCCCTGCACTGGTCTTGGTAACTTGACAGACGTCCCTATCAAGCAGTCAGTATGAACATGGGACGGAGCCTCTACAGGCATGCAAAGCAACATTCCTCTCCATTTTAAGGATGTCCTTTGCTCAATGTGCCTGGTCTACAGGCCTCTCTCTCCCACTCTCTGCATCAGTGGTACCTGCTCCACACCAGCGAGCGGGAACCTGGACCATGCAGACTGAGCTTCAGACTCTTTATTCAAACTGCTACCATCTCTGCAGAACTCCACTGGCAAATGAAGGAAAAAGACCAAAACCAGACCTGCTAGAGAAGCAGAAAGCAACCTAGTGGCAGGCAGAAATACACAAACCCTTCTTCCAAAAATTACAGCTTTGAAACAATGGGCAAAGTTCAGCCAAAAGAGAGAAATGAACAAACAGGTAGATATCACACAGACAGTAAATTGAACCGGAACTACTTAGCACACAGCCTGTTACCCTGTTAAACAGTTCCAGTGTTCCTCACATGTTCCTCATGTTATTGTTGCTTACTAATACAGGATCATTGCATTCAGCAGGGAGCTGCTGACACTGGGGAAGGGGATGGAAAAGAGGCAGTGAAAAGCAGTTTCAGAAATTCTTAGACTGGCTTTATCACAGAAGAATGAATGAGAATGCAAGCACAGTGCCTTAAGCCTGACCAGAATGATCCCTAGTTTTCTCTGACTCATGTTCTCTCCCTGATCACGATTTGGAATGGCTTGGAAGCAGAGGGACAAAAGAAAAAATATGCAGAAACTAAAGCCTCAGCATGATTCAAACACACCGCCATGTCATTTGGAGCCAGAGGCACTACTACTACCCCATCCAAACTCTTTTTTCTCTCTCCTAGGACAAAGTGCTTCTCGTACCACTCACACACTGTACTACACGCTTAGTTTATTTCTGTTGAGATACGCTCAGCATCTACGGTACCTGTCTTCTACATATAAGAACACAACAGGGATTCGCACTGCCCTTACCAGGAGCCAGTAATACAGCAGGAAAAACAAAACAAAACCTTGCTGCATTATTAACAATTGAGTCCAAGACAAATATCTAGATCAAAAAGACAGAAATGTTGCAGTAGTTATAGATTATTTTGGAGTATAACAACATTCATCCCAGAGTACTCATAAACACCCTTGCAAGTCTTCTGAGCATCTGCAACAAGAGCCACACATAGTTAAACACCACCAAAAGGACAAGTAGCCATACCAGAAAAATCTTCTGACCCCAGTGTGATTTGAACACACAACCTTCTGATCTGGAGTCAGACGCGCTACCGTTGCGCCATGAGGTCACATTGCTGTAAACATTTATTTGTCTCTCCAGAATCAAATATCTTGAGATTTTTCTCCCAGGTAACGCTGCGCTAGCTTATGTCAATGGAGTCCGTTGGTACATTCAGGTCTTCCTACTTTCTTCTTCATTTCAGAGGCCTTCTGCCAGACACGCTTAGAATATGCACCCACAGGATGCCTGCTGGTAAACGCCATGTTAAGTACTAAACAAGATAAGGGTGGGAGGGCCTCCTACAGCAGCCAAACAGCATAAAATACTTGTCATAGTCTTAGCAGCTCCTCTGTCTGCCACAAATATCTCACAGAAGAAAGCAAGAGAAGCAGGCAGGCCACCACCACTCAAGCTTTCAATGTCAAAAGCACGCTTTACAAGGATCTTTGTTTCAGACAAGAAAGCACAACCTTTCTCCCCCCGCCCCCAACAAGAAGAGCTAAAGAATATTTGCCCCAATATTTGCCCAATATTTGCCCCAATCCATCCCCATTTTCTGCAACTGTAATAAGTATTTTCTAGTAATTCAAAGTGAATTTAAACTGTCTTTACCAGGAAAACATTCCAGTTGTCTTCCAACATAGCTGCAGTTTGCTCACAGGAAACTTTACCTATGGTTCTTCACAGTTTCTGGAAAAGCAAAATGGACATCTTCAAATGAATGATTCCTTCTTTTGCCCAGGTTCCGGCCTTTTCAGCACAGGCTCTGTTATCAAATTTTAGAAAACTTCTGAATTAGAAATTTAGAAAGATACTCTTTCCATCATACACTCCCACGTCCACATTTAATCTCAATGCATAAAACTTATGCTCCCCTGAAACATGAGGTACGTGGAAAAAAGACACATGAGGCTGTGGGATTTGAATACAGTGCCTTCTCATGTGGGATCAGACTCACAATCCTTGTGTCACGTAGCCACAGAAGCTGCCTTGT